CCAGCTTGACCACCACTCCACCTCATGCAAGTCAGCTCAGGCACCGTCTGTGCTGTGGGTTTATTTGTCAACCGTTCTTTGCCTCTTCTATTTAGGCTGTCAGTTATTTGAAGCAGTGACCTCATCATCATCTTCTGGTACACGTGGCTGTGCTGCATACAGCACAGTGGGGCCCTCATCTCACGTAATTACCCGATTTAGCTTAATTTTGCTTGAGATACAAAAAAGGCTGAATACACTTGCCAATGATTCTGCTTTTAGTACACCTTGGAGGTGTACTCCATTAGATACACAACAACAAGAACGCTTCCCTAGAGCTCTGCATTGCTCTATTCTGAGCCATCAAAGTCAAGTCTAAGCAATAACTAACACTTGTCTGAAAGAATAAAGCAGTCATTTAAGTTAGGTACTGTTATTTCCAGTGATGCGGACATTTCTTGGCAGTACAGTGCGCTAAGCACAGGTTATTTTACCCTAAGAATAGTTCCATATGACGTCAAACTGGCAGATCTTTTAAGTGACAATATCTGGACTTTCTAATTTGTTTCTTTTAAGAACAAAGCTGTGCACTGAATTTCCACTCTTGAAAGACACTTTTGACACTGAACAAACTTATAAGAAAAAAATATGAAACCACTGGCAAGTCTGTTTCACACATTCTCCTTTGAATTCTCTTGGCTATATACTTTTTAGAAGAGGAACAAAGTATTTTACAAATGAAATTTGAAAGGCCTCATATTTGTCCAAATACAGATTAGTCAAATACATCTCACATCCTTATTCAGAGCAGCAGAACTACACACACAGAGCTTCTGAGTGGGAGGTACCTTCACCCAATATATATTTATTGCCCACTTGACTTCTGTGGAGCTGGAATTCACCTTTAAATTCAGAAACTTCAGATGAAAACCTGGGTATGTAATTGGTATTTCCTTCAGTATTTATTCAATATTGTCATTCCTTTGTTGTAGTGACTAATATAGAAGGTATTAGAATTAATACAAACTACTGTTCTATGGTAACACCTATTAGGTCCAACCCCAGGGAGAGGGACAGGAAAGGGAAGCCTCATCATAACTCAGTATATACACACCTAGAGGTGCCTTACTTCTTCTGATTGGTACCCATGAAGAAGATTATGAATTACTATGGTCTCCTAATGTAATACACCTCTCTGCCAGAGGGAAAGACCCTGATTGTTTTGGAGATGGAGATTTCTCCAGGGCTGAAAGTGTGGAGCGAATTCCCCTGAGGCTGAGTGTCCTCACCACCCTGTAGCAATTTCTGCTTCAAGTAGAAACACATTTTATTGACTTCAGTATCTCAAAAAAAAAGCCATTAATGGAACTTACCTTTGCCATAAATGATGAACAAAAGCAAGTCCAGCAAAAAAGAAAAAAATTCACTGCATACACTTTCTCTTCTGGGAAGAGGACTAGACAATAAACAGAAGCACTTTGTAATACCCAAGACTTCAACAGTACACAGACAATACTGCAGCATGTAAGTTAAATATATTTATACATAGACCAGATTATACTAGAATAGAACAAAACCATGTTTGAAAGTGATGGTCTTATTTAAAGTCACTCAAAATGACCCAAGAACCTAATTATTCACAGAAGATGGATAAAAATAAGAAATCACAGCAGAAAGGAAGGATATTATTAAGTTTTCATAGGTTTCATATTTGCAGTTCAGTGTTACCTATATTCACCTAACACAGAGCAATCATATCACCAATTGCAAACTAAGCAAAAAGAAGGAATTATCACTATTTCGTATGTGGGGAGCTATAGCACATAATGACTGCATTTCTCATCTGTGGTCACTCACATATAGCATGTCACTGTCACAAACTGAGCCTTTTTTCCTATGTTGCTGATGAATGTCTTAAATAAACCATCCTTCCTCCAAGACTTCTGTGTTAACAGTAATACTGCATTATCCAGTGCAATAAGCCTGAGCCACACACCCAGTGCTCTCCATTCTTTCATCATTGTTTTTCTAAATGCAAACACTAGGAAGGAAACTTCCTGATCCCCATGACCTCCCCCCCCCTTTTTTTTTTTTAATTATTTCACATTATCACTTCTGAGCTGCATCCTCCAGTGGTGTAAATGAGTGCAGTGGGATAGAGTAATTCACCTGAGCTACTGTCGATCTGAGGTTATACCCCAGAGGATATCAATGGGAATCTCTTCAAATTAATAGATGATTTTTTTACTTCTGTGAATCAGCTTGTCATTGTTTGACTTTTTCCAGTGCTGTTTAATCACAATGTCTTCCGCTATCACTTCATTTTCCCTGTCTGGGAAGGAAGCATACAGACTATTTTCAACCACAGCTCAACTACTCTGCCAGCTCTTAAAGAAATGGAATTTGCAATTGCATGGAAGAACATATCAAAGGAGACAGGTCTGACCATGACTGTCACTACCAAAACTGCTTCCCTGTCACATACTCTCCCCAAAGCTCTATTCTTGTGATGACACAAAGTTAGAGCATCTCTTCTCACATTAGTGAAGACTGGAAAGCTGCTTGCCCACATGGCAACTGCAGTCTGCTGACAGCACTACCAAGCACAAGGTGCAGCATGACTAATTTGTTGTCTGCCTATGGCATTCACAGTCCTAGATGTGTTTTGTGGCCTTTCTCCAGATCCCTGGACTTGGATGGAGAGTGTCAGATACTGCTTACCTGTGTTTAACAACTACCACTTATTACCATGGCTATTTTTCTGTATTGTAGGACAACCTCAATGGTTAGTGTTTCTAAATAACTTCAGGAATACGGTTAGGGTATGAAAAGTATGCTAGAAGCCCATACAACAGAAAAAGGGGAAGAAAATGCAGGAGACAAACTTCAGTCAGGTCTTCTGAACTCGGAGACCTGTCAACATTTCTTTCCCCCAACACTGCATTTTGTTATTTTTTGTTTTCCTCTGAGATGCTCAGCATATTTCTCATCTGTATTACTTCTGGTTTCCCAACACCTGAAGTCCAGTCCTCCTGCTTGCATTAAAACAAGACCTGTGCCGTGGCAGAAGACCGCTGCCCAGTCCTCCTTCTAAAGAGCACATATATTCTTCTACATTATTTGCAATATTCTCTCTTTTAAAAAGTTTCAGTTTCTTGACCTTGTCTGTTGAAAGCTTTATTGCTTTTTTAACTCACTTTAACAGAACTTTTTCTTCATTTTCTTGTTTATGTATCAGTTTCATTACTGCTATCACACAGCTCTGGGGACACAGCTAGTTAACGGCTGCATCTTGACTGCTGCAAATACAATCGTACGTTCTGCCCTGCGATATATGCGTGTAATTCCTGTTGACAATGCAGTGAAAATCAATTTCCTATGGCACTGAGAACTGCAGCCACTTATAGAAGGCAGCATTTGACTCTTAGGATTACACGGTCATTTCTAATTGGTAGAAAGTGGCACTGCATTATTAAAAAAAAAAGAGAAATGCAAGGATCACAAATCCAACCAATTCATCCCATCCACAGGGGCCACAGTTTCCAAGTGCAGAATTGATCCATTATCCTCATGTCATGCTTTTTTTGGCCCAGCCATCCTTTGGTGCACACAGGGATGTACACTTGTATAATGTACAATTCAAACTCTTATCCAGTAAATACTGGCTTACCTGTTCTAACTACATTTGGCTTATACTGATTTAAAACAGGTGTGGTTTTAGTACTCTGCCTCCTAGTTTCACAGAGAACGCTTACTCAATTCACATAAGTGAAAGATGTCTCAGTCTGACCTGGAAGGCTGAGAAACCAGTGGTCATGCCCACTGCACTGCTAGGGCCAGTGCTGTCAATCTGAACAAAAAGCAAAGAACAGTAAAAACTCAAGGTCAAGGACTCTCTTATAAAGGTTCTCCTGGTTTCACTGGCAATTATACCTCTGTAACTGAGGAAGGTTTTCTCCACCTTCCTTTCTAATCAGGGATGAATGGAACTCCTGAAATGAAGCCTTTATATTTATTTTATCTTCAGCTTCCAAAAGAAAAGGGAAATGCTTGAGCGTCTTTTTTTGGTGGAGCTTTTCAAAGCTCCAATCTTTAATGTAATAAAAAAACCCATACAATAGCATTCAAAACACAGCTTTCAAAGAACGTCCACTCATTACCGTATGAATAGCACAGTCACTTACTCAGTATACCTTCTTCTGCCTATCATTCCAGTGTCAAGCCTGCAAGTTCAAAGGTGCACCCTTTTTTTGCCAAAACCAGAAGCTCTATTTTTTGTCTACTAAGCAATTATTTTATGAGGGAAGAATAATTGAGTCCATTTTAAATGATATATTGTCTGTCAGCCAAGTTCTGTTCTGAAAGGCATGGTCCTGACAGTTGGACACGGCTTATGTTACTCTGCTTAATTTCATGTCTACCGCAGAAATAGCTGAATAAGGTCAGTAGCTGCAAAAATTATTTTAGAGGTTTCAGAGTATTTCAGATATAGATACCATTGACTTATGTGACAACAAAAGAACACATATGCAAGACAATACGAACTTCCATTGCTGTGTGTGCTGCACCTAAACAACAAATTTTCCTAGTTTATACATTTCCTCTGTTGCCCTATTGCATTCTAAAGAGCATGGTATTATTATATAAAGTATAACACTGTAACATATGAGGCAGATCAAACTCTCTGTTGGACAACAATTTAACCAGCCCAGAAAGCTGCTTTTTTCTTTAAATTTGTCCTTTTAAAACTGCAGAAGAAAAAGATTATTGTTCTAGAGCCACAGTTTATGAGAAATACAACTCTGAAAACACCATGCAGTTTCAGAAATTAATTCAGCATTAGACAGTTCAGTTTCTCAGTAATAACATGGAAGACATGAACGAAGCCACAAATCTATTTACAGGAAGACTGTTTCATCTACAGTCCAGCTCTTCATGCCTTGCAAATGGCCTCAGCAGCATTAATTCAGATAGTCTTTCAACACTAGGAAAACAGATTTGTTCATCTCCACCCTACTCACATGGCACTGTGCGGAGGTAGAGATTGTCTCTTATGATCTGCTGGAGCTCATGGTCTACCGAACCTTTCTGGAACCGTAAATTGAGGTAGTGACGAAGGTCCTTATCAACAATGCCTCCTGTCAAGGAAAAGACAAATGAAAGCATGATTTAAAAATATATTGCTTTGATGGAAGCAATGAATCACTTGTAAAGTCTCAGTGGCTCATTTTCCTTCATGTTTCTGTCACGATGGATGACAGAAGCACAAAGAGCTTTCTGGTTAAGGCATGCAGTTGGTATAATATTACTTAGTATCAATAATTGTAAAGGTTAACACAGTTAGTGACAACTAACTGCCTAGATCTGTACAGTCCAGAAAATACATATAGGATTATAGACAGGTGTCAATTTTTTTCTGCACAAAACTGGAATATGTTGTTATTATATAACTACATAAACATATATCTAAATAATACATTGTTAGGTATTATGTTCCCCATGACATTGTACCAATTTCTCACCTGCTTATTAAACCAAAATATCTTGGTTCAAAATGTCTCTGTAATGTTGTGTTTTCAGTCCAAGTGTAACCAGAATAAAGTGCAGCTGTACGTAACGATCATATAAATATGATATAATCTTGTGTTACTTATTTCTAACAACACTTACATCTGAAAAAGATACTATAGCAAACAAGGGTACATATTTTATTTCCACCACTGAAAAGAGTCGTTAGTAATAAAACATCTCAGCATAACACTGTAAGCATGGGGGGAGGGGAGGGAAGAGTTAAAAAATCTGTATTTGCCAATTTATTATAACATTAGGAGAAAACAACTTAAAGTATTGTTTAGCCACTGACTGGTGTATCATGTTCCACTATTAAAGGCATACCTATAAATCTAATCCACCATTATTAATAAACATTTCCCAATATAGTTCCTCTCCATTTCTTTTAACCTGGAGTATGGATCATGTTTATAATTATGGAAAAAAGTCTATAACTAACTGCATTTCTTCCTTCTCTGAAATTCTGACATAAGAAAAATATAGAAAATCATTACCACCCCAAGTTCTGACATATATTCCTGAGGTGAAAAATTGCAAGCAGATAGATCCCTAACTTGTTGCTTCACACATTCAACCCTAAAACAGTTTTCAAATGGCATTTGCTATTGAACCCTCTGCCAAAAATCTTATTGACTTGGACTATATAAAGATTTTCCTGTGAAAAGGAACAAATAACATTCCTACCTAATTATTTGAAAGTCACTGCAGAGCACAAATGGCTATAAATTGAAAAATATTTCTCCTTACAGCTGTTCCTATTTATCTGCCAATTACAAGTCCATAATCTTATTGTTGCTGCTCTTTGTCAATAACTTCAAAACCTTTTGTTCCAGATTTATAAAAAGCTTATAAATAATTTCTGTCATCTTTAGCTAAAGGCAAAAAACCAGCAGACTTTCATAATCAAAAGGGGGAAAAAAAAAAAGCCCCAACTCATAACAGACACAAAGAAATACCTGCGTGCCCGGTTCCCAGAGGCTGAGAACTTCCATACAGATCGCTGTTATTCCAGGATCCCAGCTGAGCCACTACTACTTTGCTACCACTAACCCTCTTTCTAGCAATGGGCTCTGTTTGCAGACCATACTATCCTTACTCCTGCTACTTATGAGATTTCAGGGGAGGCGAGGGCTAGAGGAGGCTGCAGAGAAACTCTCTGCTCCTGATTGGAATCAGCTGTCCTTTCTGATCAGCTGCAGAGACTAAAGGTCCTGCAGCTCCTGCTCTTCTCGCTCTAATATACATACAGAACATGCCCAGTGATGCAGATGCTTTCTGGCAGCCTGAGAAAATGCCAGCTCAAGAACAACAGCTGTAACCTGCCCACTGACATAAACCTGAATCATTCAACTTATGACATAAGTAAGTTTAGGAACCTACACAGATTTCTGACCCTAGAAGTGCATTTTAGATTTACAGCCTTTTGCTTCAAACACAGCCGTTTACTTCACCATGTGTTAACAAATGCACTAAAACCTCCTAAACACTTCATAAAAAGAGTCACCTGATATTTTTGGCAAATTGCATATTCCAAACTGGAGTATAAAAATGTCTATTTACAAGAGGAGCTACCTACAGCCTTGTATTTGCTACATACAGATTCAAAAGCAAAAGTTTGTAACAGAAATAAAACCTGTACCTGGTGCAGAGGAAACAAACGTACCAGCTTCCAAGCACAAGGGAAACATACAATTTTTTTCTTAATATCTGAGTATATACTGTAACATTAGCAAAGTCTATTTTAAAGAGGAGTCAGATGAACTACGGACAGCACATGTACAATTGACAAATTTCCCTCTTCGACAGTCATTCTGTTTTCTGACCTAAATGACATTTTTCAATTCTCTGGGCATAAGCTACCTTTTTTTTTTTTAATCTGGTATACCATGATATACAATGACTTTTACATCCTGGAAAGTGTAAAAAATAAAATAGTTCGAGAGTCCTGAAGAGCAGATGCAATATTTTTAATTTGTCCTTCCAATTGTCATTCTTCTGCTTTTCTCCCCTAAAAGCTTTGTTGTTTTACCTGATGCTTGTCAAAAGCATACTTGTCTCCAGATGTGCTTTCCAGGTATTTATAATACCTGAGGTTTGAGCAGCCTGCTCCTTTTAAAGTACAAGCAGAACAAAATCTTGAGTGTGCTAGTATGGGGCCATAAGACTTTTTGCAAGAAACTATAGTGATTCGCAAGAATGTAAAACAGACTTGATTTAGCCGCAGTGAATTAGATCTTGTGTTACAGACTATATAAATCAAGAATAACATGAGTAATAATAATAGGACTATGTCCTCAAAAAGACTGAAATAAGAAACAGAAAATATTATCATTTGTTTTACTTTGGAGGGAAAAAAGAAACTTAGTGACATTGTCAGTATGTTCATTGAAAGAGAAGCAATCAGAAAGAAACTGTTTTTACAGGCGGTAACAATACCTCACTATTTAGTGGTCCCATCCAACCCAGTTAGACAAGAGTCCGGTACTTGCTTTCTATAAAATTCAACTTCACATTATTTTCTCTTTTCGCAGTACATTGAAACCCATTGAGATGTTGAAAAACTCCTGACATGAACCTAACCCCCTAGTTTTCTATTATTCCCAGCCAGCCCACAGTGGTGGACCTCGGAACGATGCTCAGGGGCCGCCGGTGCCTGTCGCACCGTACCGCCAGCCCCGCTGCAGCTGCACAGCAGCTCATGCAGAGAAGCTCAGAGAGAAGGAGCTCGCGAAGGCCACATCCTGCTCACTGTGCATGACAGTGAAAGGAAGAGCTGTTGTGTGTCAGAGGTATTATACAGCACAAGCTTTAGAAACCCAACCCAGAGACCATAATTAAAAATGTTCTTTGGCCACTGCCACAGGAGGAGGCTGACAACTGCGCAGCGGAGCATGCACTGGCTTGCAGCCATGCAGGGCTTTTTTTTTATTTTTCCTGGCTTGAGGCCTATACTCTGTTTCAGTTTCATTTCACTCCAATGAATCCCATTGCTTTGCTAGCCGGGAAATATAGAATGTGAATTAAATACTTCCAGTAATGGTCTCTTGCATAATGTATGTCTGGTTTAGGTACATCTACTAATCATGATGGCAAACTCATAACCATGACTGAATTTGATTCCACAGATTATAAAATTAGATACACTTGGCTGAACTAAAAAATGCTCTATTTGCATGTTTTACTTACGAATTTAATGAGCAAAGTATATCTTTTTAGAGTGTTTTAATGTATTTCTGTTGGGTTTCCTTCCCTTCTCAAAATCTATTAGCAAAGCCCAATCAGAAAAGAAATACAATAAAGAACACACATACAAAAGGGTATTGAATAGTTTGTAGCTCATTAAAAGATTCAAAACTGAAAAAGATAATTGCCATTTCCAAGAAAATGACAGGGATAAAGGTTTATAATTTTCTCTAGCCCTAAATATTGTAAGTGGTTTTTTTGTAACTTCCTATTTGGTAACCCACCAATGCTGCAGCTGGAGTCTACTCTTTTATTTTTCAGTGAAGGACTACTTGCAAAACACAAACATCCTTCTTCTTGTTCCCACAATGTTAGCTCTACGTAATTTTGCAGCATCTTCCAGAGTCTGCTGGCAGAATGCAACATTGACTTTGAGATAGCACTCCCAAGTTAACCTCAGAGAGCTGCCATTTAACTAGTAAAACCATTTTGTAGCTTTGCTATTTAGATGTACCTTGTTTTGTTCCCTTCAGTTAATTGACCACCCAGCACAGCTCTTGACTGTAGTTTCTGGGAAATACCATGATTTAACTGGTTGGTAAAAAAAAAGTCAAGCTGTACTTCATGTAACAGAGAGGACAGTTTGTGGCACTTTGCTTCCAGAATATTTATGTTTTATTCAGTGTTGTAGTTAGGAGTTGTATAAATTAAGTAAAAATGATGTTTGAATACTGCTGCTGCTTTTCTACAAAGGCTGTCTGGAAATGAACTGCCTTTTACTCTAGTTTTGAAATTCACTAAAGCAACATTTCGTAATTATGAAACAGAGCTGTTTGTAGGTGCCTCCAGTATATCATTGATTTGACTGATAACTTACACATAAACATTAATGATTGCTACTGAGATATTTAAAAGACTGTAATTGTTCCTACAAGACTTACTACAAGGGAAATAATTACCTTTATAGATGTTTTTGACAAACACTAAATTGTAAGGGATTATACATTTACTTACCAAATGAGAATGTCAAAAATGACACTCAGCCTGTGCAGTCATATAGCGTCCAGCAATATCTGCAAGGATAGACTTCTCTTGAAATTTGAACATATTTACAGAAGTCTTACTTCAAATACTACCTGACATTCAGATGCTCCCACTCATAGAAATCTCCTTTTATTTGGACAAAGGGTATCACAACAGAGCTTGAAACTTGTTAAGGCCGATGTTTGTTATGTGACCTAGCTTCCAGATACAGCTCCCAAAGAAAACAATAGAAAGGTCCCAAATGACTTCAACAAGAACAGTTGGTAAAGGGAAATAAAACATCTTATTGGTATTCTTCTAAAGACAAAACCTCTTTGAAAATTGATGGCACATAAGGCTGAAAACTCATGGAATAAGTTTAACCAGAGATTGACTGTAGCATACTAAAAACATTTGAGCAGAACTAACAAGGCTGGTTTTAGCTTCAGAAAAACATTTACATCATTATTTGGGCTGGATATATTGCCAGGAAGCTGTTTTGAATTCTAGGAAAATCCACGTTAGCCACAAATGTTCAAAAGACAAGTTAACAAAGGGGGGGGGGGGGGGGGGGGGACAAGAGAGAAAGTGGT